GTCCAAAAGGTCATAAAAGGTGTACATGCCAACATAGATTGAAAAATTTCTGATCTGATAGTGTAAGGAATACGTTGTCTTGCTAATAAAATAAGAATAGTTTAACACAGTAGAAATCCGATCGTGATAATTTCGAAGTAAGTGAAAGGTGATATTCCTGATTGTGATAGCTATTCACTTGCCCTGGCCAGGCAGGATGAAGAGCGGACACCTCAGGAAATGCCTAGTAAGATCAAAAGTTGATTTCAGAAAGCTGAAATCATATCTGAATAATGATAGAAATTTTCATCGTTTGGAATCGGAAAAACGATGTAGAGTAGTTTTGCTATTATGTGAATAAGATAGAATATGGTGAACGGGTGTCACCATAAGAATGTTAAAAAGATCTAATGACGTGATGATTACGTATAGAAGAACTCAAGGATAAGTGCATCAGTGACAAGTGTATAAGATGTATATGTCAGAGCTTATGAGTTCGAAATGAAGGAATAACATTGTGTATAAGCCAGAGCGTTTATATGATAAGGATTTGCAGTTAAGACGGAAAAGTTAGCGTTAGCTAACAAGAATATGCGATGGAAATGTACTGGAATTATAAGATATAAAATATTGTCAGGATATGATAACTAGATCTGCAATGGATCTGGATACAGTTGCATATTTGGATCATAATAATGAGGTATAGTAAAGGAAAAGGAAGTAAGAATTGGTATCTTTAAATAAAGCTGAGAATTGATAAGAAGAGTTTGAGAATGTGTATATCGATGATCAGATTATAAGACACAGGAAGTCAGAATGTTGAGTTTGAGCAAAAGAAATTTCAGGATGTATGAGAATAGAGGTGAAATTGATAAGTTGAGTAAGTGAATTTTTAAGATAATTTCGATTTGACAGGATGTATGTGTTTGGTTGATTAGGGTTTGTACCCTAGATTGAACATATATTATTGACTAGCTGTCAGAGTAAAAGGGATAGAATAATAGGATTGAAGGAAAAGATAAAGTTGAGTTAATTGATTATGATGTGAATTTGAATATGGTTGTATATTCTGAGCAGATAGCTATGATGTAGAAACTGAGATAAGTGTTTGCATGGAATCTTCAGGAAGAAAAATACAAGTATAAGAATGATAAAGAATGAAGTTATGTATAAGAAATGGGATATTAAAGTAATGAGGATGCAATGAAGATTGGTACATAAAGATGAGTATAAGTAATAAGACAAGAGTATGTGAACATGAAAGGAAATATATGATTAATGTATAAGGAATAAGGAATAAAGAAATGAAAGGGATTGATTTAAAGGATCATATACGATAAATATGGAAGTACAGAGGACAATTTTTGATATGGAAATAAGACCAGTGTGCAAGGTGATGTGAAAATATTGTTTGACTCCTTAAAGTATATGTTTAATCACATTGAAGAAGATTTAAAGTTGAGTTTTGGTCAAATGATGACGAAATACAAGTTTGGTATGGTTATAAGGTAATTAAAGATTGATAAAGAATTTGATTGATTAAGGATTTTGAGTGATAAGAACTGATGCTATTGGTTATATGATAAGTAACATGATAAGGATGTATAAAGGAAAAAGGTAGTTGAAGAACTAAGAGAAAGAAGGATTAAGTAAAAGAAGTAACATAAGAACATTAGAAAATATGTTCTTACTAAGTTGTTTAGTGAAAAATTCGAGGACGAATTTTTTTTTAAAGGAGGGGAGATTTGTAACATCCGCAATACCGGGTTAGTGACCAAATTGTAAAGTTTCAGAATTTGGTGACTAAAGTAGAAGAATGAAAGAATTCAATGATTATTTGAATATATATTGAAGGTTATTTGGTAATTAAAGGAAATTAAGGGTATTATGGTCATTTGACCAGAAAGATTTTTTTATAATTTTTTTTAAGGGTAATAAGCACGTATGAAGAAGAGTCCAGAGCATTCTTCAGTCTTCTTCTTCCTCCTCTCCACCGTGAAGCTTGGTATAAGGTAAGTGAGTCTTTAGTTGGTTAATTCTTTCGTTTTAAAGCTTGTTTTGATTCTTGGGATATTAAGAAAGATTAAGGAAAGCTTTAGGGGGCTTAAACCTCAAAGATTAACAAGTTATGAGAAATTAAGAAAAATGAGTTTTTAAGTGAATTTTTGATATGGAATGAGTTAATAGATTGTGAAGTTGAATTTGACTTGTCAAGGATTAAATTAAGAGGTAGGAAGTGTTAGAATTGGAATTAGAACACATTGGAAATTTGGTATGATTTTTGAATCTTATATGGAAGATAGAATTTTGAGGTTTAAGATGAAATAAATGAATATAGATTGGTTTAAGTATGTGTACTAGAGTTAAGGATGAAAAGGGGATGATATATGAAGTGTTTGAGAGGAAATGAAGTAATTTTCGGGTTGAAAATATGATTTCTGGGCAAGGGGAATCAGTACCCATTCAAGGGGAACCGATACCCCTTCAAACGAACAAGAATTTCCAGTATGTCATAGGGGAACCGATACCCCCATGGGGGGGAACCGATTCCCCCTAAAGGAAAATTGGGGATATAGATTTAATAAGTTCGTTTAAATTGATAGTATCCAATTACAAGGTGTAGGTATCTAATGATGGTCTCGAAATGTACATTTATGTAGATTCTACGCATAAAGCAATTCCGGAACGTTTAGCAAGTAAGATCGATCAAGGGAAAGATAAGAGATTGGATTTGGCTAGTGAGGCCAGGTGAGTGCATATTAGTTAGTTTATGGTGCTAAATGGAAACAAGACTTGCGACAAGTCTATTTCCTATGTTAGAATGCATGAATATATGATTATACGTATATGAATGACATGAATTGTATGTATGCATGAATATATGTGTTGACATTCTTTTGAATGTAATGTTATGAGAAGTATGTGCTATATAAGGTATATATATATACATATGTGAAACTGAACTATGTGACTGCATGAGAAAGATATGAGCCATATGACATGATATAGGTGAACATGAGAAAGCAAAGTATGAGATATAAACTATGTGATCATAGTAAAATATAATTATATTTTTATATGATAAGTGAAATAAACTGGATAATATTGATCTATAGGATGAAGTGAAATAGTACACCAACTAGGGGATTTGAACATAAATGATAAGATGAACGTATAAGATAAGCTAGATGGGAAAGATTCATAGGTTTAAATAAAACTATAACACATGGGTTGAATGATAGAAATTTGTGAAGTTATATGAGAAGATTATAAGAGCTATAAGAAATTTAATTAAGTAACAGATTAGATTATATATAGAAATAATAGAAGTGAGATATGTTTATAAGTCTGCCCTAGATGAATACGAAATATAAGAGTGCTATATGATTTATATTAGGATAATCTTGAGGATATATATATATAGATAGATATGAAATGAAATGAAATGAGTTATATGAATACCCAATTATGTGATGAAATGGTGAATTACCTGAACATGTGAATATATATGTTTAAGAGAAGGCATACGATTAAGATATAAGCAATGTGACTATAAGTATATATGCTTTAAGTGATATGACTTATAAGTATTTCTATTATAATGTTACATGATATGTTATGTATGTTAAAGGAATTATGTGATGGTATAAGAATTGATAGGAAATATATGTGAAAACAAGTATATGATACGAGACAAAACTGATGACTATAAGCTACGTGAAAGTGTTCTAGGTGTTTCGATATATATATGAAGTATATGATCTTATGTGAACAAGATATGATAAGTATGTTTATATGAATAAAGGTGATTGGGTGAGAAATGATAAAAATTATATGAAAACATGACATATGTGACATGTGAATTATATGGAAATGATCTACGGGTAAGTGAACTACGTGACTATGTGATCATATGAAAAGAAGCTATGTGATACGTGATATGTGAAAGTGAATTACAAGTTTATGTGTATATTTGAAATGAAATAAATGATAACGCCCATGTTATGTGTCATGAGAGCTAGGGGTATAGTTGGCATGCCAAGAGTCGAGGGTTTATTCGGTTCTTTAGGGCATATGTATATCCTTTGGAACCTGTGTGAAGTCTTGAAAGACACATACTTGATCCATAGTATATGTATATGATTCTTAAGGAATTCTACGTGGTCCTTATGGACATCATTCTACGGGCACTACGGTGCAATTCTACGGGCACTTCGGTGCAATTCTACGGGGCACTTCGGTGCATTTATACGAGCTGTGGTGACAGCATAGTGCACAACCTCTATAGACTCACATATCGATAGTTCTCACATATATACATGGGCTAATCCAGAGATATGAACAAATATAAGTTAGTGGTATGATAAATGCTATAGAAATTATATGATGTTGTGTGTATAGTGTTTGATTGAAAAAGTATGTGATTATATGATAACATGTGAATGATGAATTATGTGTATGTATGAATTTACTGCGATTAATCTGATATGATTCTATACGATATGAAAAATGCCTGGAATTGCTATAACATGATAGAACAGAACATGCATGTATCAATATATGTTTTAAAGTGCATTATAAGTGGTTATGCCTCACTAAGTCTTCGACTTAGCGTGTGATTGTTTCACACGTAGGTTTCGAGAAGAGTAAGGAGTGATGCGGAGCAAGACAGGTCAGTTTTCCTTACCAAAAGATCAGATCAGAAATATTTGATAAAGTATGTTTTTGGTTATGTATAAAGTGTTGGCATGTAATAAGTCATTAAGTACGAGCACTCTGATAAAGTCTGTATTTTGTTTTAAATAAAGTTTTAAATTTCCCGGGATTTTTCTTAAGAGTCAAGGTTTGAAAAGTCAATGTGACACTTCGGACTCGTATCAGGGTAGGATACGGGTTGGGGGTGTTACAGGTTACTTTAAAGGTGCAAGAGGTCTAAGGTAGGGAGACCCTCTATCCCCTTATCTTTTTGTTCTAGCAATGAATATTTTATCTCGGATGCTTAATTTATCTGCGAAAGAGGAATGTTTGGTTTCCATCCTAAATGCAAGAAAATTGGCCTAACTCATCTATCGTTTGATGATGATCTAATGATCTTTTGCAAGGGTAACATTGAATCTGTTGTTGGCGTACTCACTATTCTTGATCATTTCTATGAAATATCTGGGCTTAAACTGAATCCTTCCAAATGTGAGATTTTTGCTGCGGGGATTACATTAAGAACTATTGAGGAATTAAAACTGATTACTGGGTTTCATATTGGAATTCTTCCTGTCCGTTATCTTGGTATTCCTCTTGTCACCCGTAAGCTTACCGAAAAGGATTGGCAAGCTTTAATTGATAACATCAAGCTCAAGCTTCATCATTGGACTGGGAGAAATCTCAGTTATACAGGCAGATTAGAGCTCATTAGATCAGTCTTATTCAACGTCAAAAACTACTGGTGTAGACAACTTGTTTTGCCAGCTTCAATCCTTAAAAAAGTGGAACAGCTTTGCTCAAGGTACTTCTGGAAAAGAGCAGATAAATCTGCTGCTGGTGCTCGTGTGAGCTGGGAAATTATTTGTCTATCCAAATCGGAAGGTGGCCTCGGACTGAAGAACATTAAATCTTGGAATAGAGCTTGTCTCATTAGTCTAATTCAGAAAATATTAGCGGGAGATGGATCACTGTGGGTTGCATGGTTAAAGGCATACGTTTTTAAGGAGCATGACTTTTGGCAATTCCGAGCTGCTGCAAATGTAAGTTGGAGTATCGGCATAATATTAAAATCAAGGGCTGAAGCTCTTTCAATTCTTTCAGTCGGTTCTCCGCAAGTAAAGGAAATTTGGGACTTGATTCGATCTAAAGGGCAAAATATTTCATGGCATAAAATAATTTGGTTCCCATTGCATATTCCGAAGTTTAGTTTGATAGCTTGGATGGCTTTACTGAACAAATTGCCAACTAGAGACAGGCTTCTTCGAATGGGAATTAATACTGACGGTATTTGTGTTAATTGCAGCAACTCAAACGAGACAAGGGACCATCTCTTTTCGCACTGTTCACTAGCAACAGATCTCTGGAACTCAATTTTGAACCTTAATGGGATGAAGACTACTTATTTATCATGGGAAGATATGGTTTCGAAGGCATGTTCATCATGGAAAGGGAGGTCTCTTCTTACTACCATTCTTAAACTCTCTTGGACTGCTTTTATCTACTCTTTGTGGCAGGAAAGAAATAAGAGAATATTTCAAGGACGACGTAGAACGATCGAATGCTTGCTCAAAGATGTTAAAGACGTTGTCGGAATCCGCCTCAGGAGAACTAATATTAATAGACTTGATAATACGAACTTAAGGCTTTGTAAGGTTTGGGGTATAGTCTAACCAATCATTTTGTAGGCTGTTTATTTGATTCTTTCGTTGTAGATTGGTGGATTGGTTGTAATTAAACCTTGAGTTGGGTAATAAAATCATAATTATCCAAAAAAAAAGCTTTACTTCTACTATTATTAAGACCCGTTCAAAGATTTCAACAAGAAATGTAGCACTTTCATCTCAAGGAGACCTAGAAGAATCTTTGTCCTCAATTATTCTCACCTTCTTTGGCTGCCCATATTTTATTTCCTAGCCTTCGCAATTCACCTAAGAAACAAAGTGATTTTTTTTCTTATTCTATATGTTAAGATTCCAATTCTAAACTTTTAAATATACATTTTTAAGGTAGATTATAAGAATTAATTTAATTTTCTAATTTAGTATCATCTCATTTTAAATTCACTTAAAAGATGGTAATAGTTGTAATGGATTCAGTACATTGCCCAGATTAAATTATAATAATCATATTTTTTTTTCATTATCATTGATCATTTCTGATTTATTAATTGATTAGTTCTAATATAATATTATATAGACTCGTTATAAGATAATTTGTTTTCATTTATAACAATAAAATTGAATAATATATAAAAAAAAAACATAAAAGATTATAAAATTAATTCCTTAAACAAGATCAAGAGTTCAAAGAACAATATTCATTTTAAATTATCTGATCAAAAGATCAAATATCAATGGTTAAAGCAAAAATAATAAGAATAATAAAGCCGTTACCATCTCTATAAAAACACTGATTAAATCGATTAATGTAACCAGATGAATTAAAAACCAAAGTTCTAACAAACTCAAAATGTGGTTTAGGACAAAACTTGCACAGGTCTAATTTTTTTTAAGGAACCGAAAATTTTGCTTTATTTCAAAGGCATGCATCTCCATGCTGGTGCAACAATCAACACACTAAACTAAGAAGAGAGTCTGCTCTAGAAATCTAATTGTTGAAAGGTATTTTGGTGTCATAGCACCCGCTGCATACCCAAAGATAACCAACCATAACCATAAACCGTTCAATAACATTAACCTAATCCATCGATGCTTTAAACATATCCGATGCCGACACACTAAATTCGATGAGAGAAATACTAAAACAAATAGACAAAAAGGCGATGCAAGGATTCATCACTGAATGCGATATATTCTACCGAAGATCATTACCTAAATAGTTGACTAATCAGCTTCGGCATACCCGGTTTCAAGGTGGGCTTGTTCGGCTTCTTGCACTTCCTTTTCGGTCTTCCTTCCTTTCTTGCATTTGTAGTACACGCTCATGAATGTTCCTACTGCTCCGTACTTCTTACGGACATGCTCGTAGAGATCGGCATTGAACATCTTCCAGAAATCCTTCTCGTTCAGCTCGGAGACAGCATACTGCGGCTGGAAACTGTGGTTTTCAATCATCCATTTCTCCATCTTGCGAACTGCCTCTGCACCATCAAACACTTCACCCCTCAGCACAGGGCCCGGTGCATAGTAGACCCCCACATCTGTGTACATCTGAGCATATTGTGTATCGCCCTGTCTGTGATGATGCTCGAAGCCTGGTTCAGGATACACCATTGTCTTGACTGGAAGCTTGAAAAGTCGGTGTGGGCAGAGCCAAATGGGATAGATCTGGAGAACCAACAATTTATATATCATTCCCTCTTAAGAAATATATTAACCTTTAAGAGTGAGATGGATGATAGCAACATAAAACAATGGTGAGGTACTAAATGGAAAAACGAGTGAAAGAACATAGAATTTACCTCCATCTCTCGGTCGACCCACTCAAGGGCATCCCCAACCTTGTAAAGAGGAACAAGCATGTCTTGAATGACATGCATCTCATGGTAATAATTTCTTATAGCTTCGCCTTGAGTAGCCTTGAGCAAGGAAACCTTGGGTGGCATCAACCATCCCAAAAGAAACCTAAACCAAAATTGATCTCCGAATGGAAGGATGAGTTTCCCCTCCCAATACAAACATCTTGTGTGCCTGTGGTAATACTCCCTTGTCGGAATGTACTCTACAAACTCTCCCTTCTTTAATGCCGTCTGTGCGTGTTGGTAGAACCAGGTTTTAAACCACCAACCTATGTTGTTAATCTTATTCCCCTTCTTCTTCGCCTCTTCTTTTGAGGCATATCTCCCGGTCATGAACACACCTTCAGTTGGTGTGTAGACCATGCCTTCTACAAAATCGGGAACTTTCACGGGATTATCCTGATCACCATCTCTGGGTGCAAAGGAGTCCATATAACCCTGTGCAAGCTCTTTCAAATTCCCCACTACGGGAGTGTAGGTCACCTTCATGTATTCTTTAACGGGTATAAGTTTGATCTCAGCAGCAACAAGAAAACCGAGGGTTCCTTGAGACCACGGGATAGCATAGAAGAGATCAGAATATTCATTGTCCTTGGTAGCTCTAACAACACGGCCATCAGCCAAAACTATCTCATAAGCTACAACTGTATCAGAAAACAGGCCATAAATGTGGGAGCTTCCTTCAATCCCGTAGCCATTGATGAGACCACCAACTGTAAGATCATCAAGCTCAGCAACCACAGCAAGGGAAAGATTCATTGGAACAGTGACTCGAGTGATCTGCCCCATGTTTACAAGTGGTTCGACTCTTGCAATCATTCTCTCCTTATCGATTTCAAGGATGTTACGGAAGGCAGACAAATCAACTTCATAATGGCGAGCTCTCTTGTAGTCTACATTCCGCATTCCAACAGCAACCCATGGTTTACGGGCTGTACACACAAGACCATCCTTTTTTGGATCCCTCTGCTTGAGACGCTTCACTATTTCCTTAACGTTTTCGTCATGTTCCTTCTGACGCTGCTTGTAGGACTTCCTCTCAGATCTGACATCTCCAACGTATATGAGAAAGTAATACAGTGTGGAAAAAGGAAGGACAACAAAAATAACAAGAATCCAGCGGAACTGGACTAGGAAATCGACCAAGCCCTTCTTCCTTTTAGGGCGAAGGGGTGCTTGAAGATCCGACATTGTGGAAGTGAAAAAAGGCCTCTTCCTCTGCAACAATGACGATAAAATTTAAGTAAATGCAAAACGAGGCATACACCATTTACATTTCAGGAATTTCAGACTTCTAAATGTAACAAATTAGCTTCCCATGATAAAATAATAGATTTAGAGTATTCTTATTAATCCAATTAGCTTAAGACCTCAGATCTTCCCGTGTTTTATTATTTTTGCCTTTCAAAGCCGAACAGGCACATTTCTTTCCATGGACAAACAGAACCATCAGCACAATAATCTAATAATCACATAGAACAGACAATGCATTGACCATAAAATTACAGTAAAAGTTCCAACAAGTGTGAAAAAATAGTAGTACTAAACATATATCTGGAAATAACAAGTAAGCGACAATATCAGATTCAAAAAATCAAAGATAATAATTACTGTTTTGTTTTCCTAGAAGACAGTAAAACTTACTGAAGAAAAAAAAATCTCGAATTTAAGAGCAATAAACAAAGCATTATAAAGTAGGAGCAACAATATTTACTTCATTTTTTCTCATTTCCTCACCAACTAACTAGAGATCTAACAATCAAAAGACACGACAAGAGAAAATCCGAAGCAAACAAATACCAAAGAAGAACACTATTCAAACACTGAAATAAACAAAACAGATTCAGTTTATTTACTCCATTTTTTCTCGGTAAACAAACAGACAATAAATTCAAGACTAAAAAGACAGCAAAGAGAAAACAAGAGAAAGCAAGAAGAGACTTTAAGCTCCGAAGAATCGCCGACAAAGGTTAGATATGAAGAGCTTTTAGTGGAGAGCAAAAACAAAGCTCAGTATAAATACAGAGATAGTGAGCTCAGCTTCACCGTGCTTCGCTTGCAGTAGTGAATATTTGTTAATAATATCTGAATTACCCCGTTTTTTAAAAAAAAATTACGCAAAATAAGGCGTTTTTACCAATATATAATCCTCAAACCCATTAATTATCTGTCATACATACTCTCTCATAATATTATTGATCTAACACTCTTTATGATAAAGTGTGGATCACTCTTTTTGTCTAAACTGACGCCACATAAGATAAGACATGGATCATCATTCGTGTCTTCACGAGATTCTGTCCTAGCTGATGCCACGTAAGAGAAGGTATGAATCGTCATCCGTACCTTCACTGAACCTTTGACATATACTGAAGGTGGATTTAAAAGGACATACGTTCCATGAAAAATATTGACATAAAAAAATATTGACATGACATCATGTGAGAAGACGTGTTTAAAAAGACATGTCTTCCAGGTCTACATAATCCCCCAAAGCATTTTAAAAAAAAATATGATTTAAATTTTTTTAAAAATAAAATTATAAGAACTAACATCGTAATTTAATGCATATTAGTTATATGAGTTGAAAACCTTAATGGATTAGTTTATATAGACATATTATAGTGTTTATGTTATGTTAATTATATGCGTATTTATTATATAATAAATAAGCGCGCCACATAAATAAATAATTGCGTCACACTATTTTATAATATTTATAATATTATAAATAACCACATTATTTTATAATATTTATTATTAAGGTTTATAAAGATAAAAAAGTCAATGAATAAATATTTTAACTTTATGTCACATTGTTAAGAAACATAACTTGTCTATATAAACTAACCACATTAAGGTCTTCAACACATGAAACTAATATGTATTAAATTACGATGTTAGTTCCTATAGTTTTATTTTTTTAATTGTTTAAAGCACATATTTTTTTTTTAAATGTTTTGAGGTATGATGTGGACCTTGAAAGGCATGTCCATTTAAACGCGCATTCTCACGTGGTGTTATGTCAATATTTCTCATGGAATGCGCGCTTCATGATCCGCGCTTTCCGTATATGTCAGAGGTTCAGTGAAGACGCGGATGACGATCTGTACCTTCTCTTATGTAGCGTCAGCTCATATAGAACCCCACGAAGAAGTGGATGGTGATTTATTTTTTATCAGAAAATATACTAAATCGATAATATTAGGAGAGATAGTGTCTTACAAGTAATTAATGAGTGTGAGAGTGATATTGTGGTAAAAGTCGCAAAAATAAGACAATTAATTTGTAATTAATTATATTTTTCTTTTTGGAGAAATCGAAGACAGGTCAGATACTCAAGAACCGTGGGCCTATTGGATTTGGTGGCGTTTGACAGGTTCACAGATGTAAATATCACGTGACAGCGTGACATGCCAAAATGTAAATCATTATAAAATAATTTTTAAAAATTAAAAAATATTATTAAATTATTATAAAATGATTACATTTATTATAATATCTCAATAACTATTATCTTAATTAATTTAGTTATTATTTTATAATTTTTAAAAATCATGATTAAATAATATTTTAACATAATGTATAGACATTATCCATAAACATATGATGTATCGGTTATTAATTAATAGAATTTTATTTATTTTTGTTGTACATCCATCAAAGATCTTCTACATATTATTTTTGTGTCTAGAAGCTTTTAGCTCTGTTTTGAAAATCGGACCGGATCGGTCGGTTCAATCGGTTTAACCGGAAATCGTTGTTTAGTCCGGTTTAATTTAAATCGGTTGAACCGTTATTAGTGAACCGGTCAGAACTGTTGAACCGTTCGAACCGGACCGGCTAAAAACCGAGAAAAATTAGGATTTTGTTTTTTTTTAAAAAAAATGAAACCAAACAACGTCGTTTGTTAAACGAGCCAAGTCGAACTCGAGTATTGCTGAGCTCGACTCGAACTTGAAAACTTTAAAAGTAAGCTTAACTCAACTCAAATTCACAAGCTAAAAATTATCAAGTTCAACTCAAACTCGAAATATAATATTGAAACTTGAACTCAAAAAAAAATTAGAAGCTCGATTGAAACATAAAATTCGAGCTTGATTGAAGTGAAAGAATAGTTAACTCAATGCTCACCAAAAGGCTCCATGATTTTGAATGCCAAATTACCTCTATTATTTATAGAAGTTAGTTGTGATGCGCTTCTATGTTTCTTAGCAATGTGAGATTGTTTTGTTCTCATATTTTTATTCTTTAGACTTTTGAGATGCTCTTCTATGTTTCTTAGCCATATGTGATTGTTTTTAAAAAAATTAAACCAAACAATATCATTTTGTTATAATTTTTTAACCCCAAATTTATTTTTTAATTATATTTATATAATTATATTTATTATTTAATATTTTTTACCTTAAATATTATGTTGTAGTTAATTTGAATCATTTTGTTTCACTTGATTTTATAGTTTTTAACTTATATATGTTATGACTTGCTTTGAATATGACTTGTGATATAAAAAATTATTTTTTATTAAATATTTTTGGTATTTTTATTTAATTTTTTAAATAATTATGACGTCGTCCGGTTCTTTCGACCGATCGGACCGGTTCGATCGGTTGAACCAATGAACCGGTAGCATAACCGGTTCGTTAACCGGTAACATGACCGGTTCGCTAACCAGTCCGATTCTAAAAACCATGGCTTTTAGAGAGTTTTTTTACAATTGAAATTTCGAGAGAACATATTGAGAAAATCTTTTGATATGCTCATTTGATTTATTAGAGTCTAAAATCTATTTTCATGTGATAATATTTACGTAGTCTATCAATTTACGAGTAACTATTATGATTTTATGTTTGACATCAATACTATAATAATTATTATAAAATATATTGATCAAAACCGAAAGAACGGATGAAATCATCCATCTCTCATTCATTTATCTTCTTATGAAGATAAAATAATTTAACATATATCAACGATCGTCTTTTCATCGATTACGATTCTTCATCAAAACTAAAAAAATGAATTGTAACTAATGTTTTTATACAAAAAAAATGAATTGTAACTAATGTTTTTATATATTTTTATGCCTCATGTGACTTGATTAATAAGTACAATTTTGTTGACGGAGTTTCTTATGTTACTTTTTATTTTAACTTAAAGTATAGTTATTTAAAAAAAGTAAATATTAGAAGATGAAAGATTGAAATGCACGAGCGGGAAGCCGGGAGTGAGAGATAAAGCAGTTCCATCGCGCAATCGTTATGGGCGAATCTGCGCAAAAAAGTTCACTTGGAATTTAGCGCACGCGTCATTATCTTATTTGGCACTACATACAACTCACCAGTAACACTATCTGCCTTATCTAACCATTTCGATTTTATTTCTCAATTCAAAATATTTAATATAAATGTATACTTTATTAAACTTATTTTTGAACGGTAAATTTGGGATTTTAGGATTCTATTAAATCTCATTATAAATTATAGTCGTGAATCAATGATTCTTCATCCACGTCAAAAGAGTAAACCACTTAACATGCATTGTTTTGTGTAAGGAAATAGAGTTCAGTGGCACTAATGAGTGCTACCAAGTTGTAAAGCAAGTTGGGTTAGTATTTTGTGATAAAAATGGAAGCATTTTTGCCACATGTAATTTATTTAGTTCCTAATTCCTATTATGAACCCACATTGTTTGTTTTGTACTTATTTAATCAAACAAATAAAAATAGATCTTATTGCTGAAAAAACATCTGCAATGTGGACCCTTTGTTATAAAAATTCCAAGTAAGATCGGGTGAATAATGAAGGAAATAATCTATGAATGTGGACCCTTTTTACATTTCCGTGCATAATGTTGGACCAAATACAGGCAAGGTTTATACGAATTTTTTTAGCCACTTTCAAATAAATTCGTATCCTACGAATATGAGAGGACCTAAACTAACCAGCATGACTAGAGATGGCTCGAGCCACTCGGTTCGAGTTGGTAGAGTTTGTTGTTTAAGTCATTTATTGGCATGGATTCCTATGCTACGAGGGGCCAACTAAGTGTACTAGCGAATTTGGAGGTATTTTAAGATGAATAGATATATTAATTATAAAAAGTTTTTATATAGAGGGAACATAAATAAAAATTTAAAACAAATATCATTAATAGAATGAATAATTGAAATAAAATAAATAAATTATATGGTGAACAAGTATCTATCTTGAAACATGCTTACATTCGCAGTTGAGGATGATTAAGTCCTTAACAAACAATACATATATAATTATACTTTACCAGTTAAATATATTTAGAAAATTAAAATTACATATAATTAACATATCTATTATGACAATAATTATGTTCTCGTATAGTTACACGATAATACTCAAAAAACCCTATTTTTTCAAAAATTATTTATTATTTTAAACGAATTTAAAAACTTAGATTATATATTAATTTTCAAAAACATATGCTAAAAACATTATGCTAATAAAATAGAATGAAATAAATAATTATACATGGCAAAGTTTATTCGTACCAAATTACCCGAATCGATTTATCCAATCAGAGACTCAATATAGACCCAAATATAATGATCCAAAATTGATCCGAAACCTGAAATAAACTAAACGAACCAAAACCGACCCAAATTTTAGTTGAACTAAAAAAAAACCCGAACTGAAAGCAACCCAAACTGAAAACAATCCGAATTTAATTTACCTATATCCGATCCGAATTAAACTTCGACCCCAATTTTAACCAAATAATCGAATCTAAGTAAGTGGATAATTTAATTTAATTATTATTATTATTATTATTATTATCTATTTTTAATAATTTTATAAATAGTAAAATGATGCATATTTTATTCTCATTTTGTATTTTACTTCTAGTTAACCATTAGTCTATCACCTTTAGTAATAGTTGAATGATTCAACATAATATTTACTTATTTAAAAAAATTATTTGTATCTAATCCAATAACTTTTAAATTATTTAAAAATTATATCAATATTCATTCAAATATAATTATTATATTATTTTCTAAAATTCAATAAATATTATATTTATAATTAAATATCAAACATATAATTAAAAATATTAATTGAGAATAAAATTTATAATTTAAAATTTAATTATTCATCAAATAGGTTACACCACAAACTTTTTAGGTTATATATGAAATTTAAGTTACAAAATCTAATGTCTTATAGGTTAGGGTCAAATTGTCATCCATATGATAGTGTCATTTGAAACATTAAATGCTAAAAGTTGAACTTGAACCTAAATGATAAGATTGACAAATAAAAATATATATTTTATTATAAGAATATATCAATAATTTTATATATACTTGATTGAACTCATACTTAACCCAAATTGACCCGAAAACCTAAATATTGTCCGACAAAAAAATTGACCGATTCAATATTAACTTGACTCAAAATCAATCAATCTCGTATTGACCTGACCCAAAAATTAACCGATTCGATGTGGATTTGACCCGAAAAACAACCGATCTGATATTGACTCGACCCAACTCATAATTGACATGAATTAAAATCAAACCCGAAATGACCCGACCCGACCCTAACCCGAATCAAGTCTCAAACCGAAATAACCCAACCTGAACCCAATCTGAATGACCCGTTTGTCACCTCTAGAAATAATTTACAAATTCCAATAATTCAAATATTATTTATATACTTAAATTCAACGCTTAATTTAAATAATATAAAGTCGACATTAATTTTTCATCTTAAACATCTAAATGTCCATAAGAGAGCTAGCAACCAAAGCCTAGCTTATACCATATAGCCCATGGAAGCGACGAGCTCTAAATTATCAATATAAATGCATATTTATTTAAGGTGATATGAGCAATTAACAGATATCAAAGGTAAAATAACATCCATTATGAACTGTATAAAATAAAACCAAAAATTTTCCTCCCCCATCTTGGAACACTTCTCTACTAAAAATCAATTTTGAGTGTAACAAAATAATATATATATATATATATATATATATATAGTCATGTGACTGGTTGAACTAATCCAACCGATTGGACTAGTTGAATTAGCAACAAGAAGCCTCGACTCTCACCGGTTTGACCTTTGGGGTTGAACGATGCCTCGTACGAATACGTTTCGAACATGGTTGTTTTAAGAAAAATGAAAATTTTGAGTAACTTGAGTGAGAGAAAAAAAAAAGCATGCAGGCCACTATAATCAAGGATTGAAGAAACTTGAGCCACCCATATTGAGTGCAATTAGCACTAATGTACTTGTAATCACAGCAAACCATAATAAGGTTGTCCCTGCAGAAGGCAAAATATTGAATGCAATCAATTAACACATACATATATTAGAAACAAACTGTTAGATACAAATACTTTTATCTCATACCTCCAGATGGTTCAGATCCTTTATCGGAATCGGATGGTGCAGATTCCGTGTTAACACCATTTATTCTTGTTTTCGAAGATCCTGATCTTGATAAGTCATCGAAATTTTTGCTACCTGGTTCAGAAGACACTATCCCCTGAAATTCCTCACTTACAATTAAAGCTGCTAGAACATCCATAAATGATTCTTTGCTGGTTTCATCTATATCTTGCTTTACACCCTGCTCATATGCCACATTTGGTTCATCGAAATCAGACAACTCGTCATCTGAAAAATCAGCACCAACGGATCCTGGGGCAGTTGTGTCATCTTCTTCATCCTCCACATAAGCTTTATATGTCAATCTAAGCAATATTTCTCCTCGAGATCTCTTTCCAAACAGCCCCCACCCCCCTTGCAAGGTCACAATCTTATCTGTTGGAACAGTGTCCTGGAGAGTCCCCAGATCAACCTGAAAGATTCAACGCGTCAGATAACCACATTCAAACAAGTAGCAGTAGCAACAGCACAATATTGACAATCTAATCCGTAGACTATCTTGGGATGGACCAAGTCTTCATCGCCATATTCATAAAATCTAAAGCTCTATCTAGAATATCATGTAAATTATACAGCACATCAACCCCAAATTGCAAACTATTGCTTCATCACCGCAAGAAATGGATATAGACTGCTACATAAAAGATGGATCATTATGCCAGCCTATCGGTTAATAAGTGACCTGAACAACTCGCTAGCCTTGCCTTATATCACACATACCTGCTCTCAACTCTCTCCTCTCCACCAATTCTTATTTCAGCATGCGTGTGTACATACGTGTGTGGTGTATCTGTGTACTTTCTAATCCTTAAAAACTAAAATGTAAATATTGTAAGCATCAAATCACAAAGTTAAATAAGCATGACCATGCCCGAAGACGATCTCAGCATACGTAAGGAATATTCTACAATGATGTACAATGTTTCACAGGTAAACAAGTTTACCTCTCCTGTACCGATTGTCCAATCAGTGAACCCAAGGGAGTCTTTCACTTGGATGCGTAGTTTTTCTTTTCCAGGGTTCGCCACAAGTAAATAAAAATCCTGGAGAAATGACAAAATTTATCATTTAAATAAACTTTACAGCTTTTTATATAAGAGTTACATACCATTTGGAAAGTTTCATTAGAGATGATAGACTTTAGTATGGGAAGAAACCAATGTTAAGAAGTTGCACCTGATTCCAAATGGGTTCACCCGGTGGTCCAATCACAGTAGTTTGACTGTTCTTTTTACTGCGAATAACTTGATCCCCCAAGGTTAGAACAACATATGGATCAGTTTTGCCTGAAAAAAAAAGGCATTACTGAACATGGTCAATAGATGTGAAGCGAATGCATGCATGCAAAAGACTCTTCTAAGCTATAACCACTAGAAGAACAATTTATTATATCCAAGTTCCAAAAATATAAACAGTAGGCAACATTGATAAGTAATTTACATCTCTGTTACTCTGACTCATCTCTTTGTTCTGCGACACTCATGCTGATAGAGTTCAAGATTGGGACATTGCTTTTGTTGTAAGCGCTCTTACCATAAAATACATAAGAAAGTTTCCTGGCATCTACAAGAGTCACCGATAGTTCTCCAACAAAATCCTTGTTTTTCTCTTCTTGAATTTCCTCGGGTTTCAAATCATTTGGAACAGGGCCAACTGCTTTCCCTTTTTGAAAATCCAAAACAATCTTTTTTGGTCGTACAAATAGTCGAGGCAAGTCCTCAGTGAGAAGTTTTGTCAAAAACCTGAAAACAAATGTATTCGGCACCATATGAGTAAAGAAGAAAAAGGAGTTACAAAGAAGGGAGTTGAATCCAAAAGATAACAAATAACACCTGAAATAAAATGAAAATTTTAATAGAAAGGAGCTAAAAAAAGCTCCTATGATCCACCACTGGTAAAACCTTTACAGAAGCAGAATGATGCATACAAAATTACAGCAACTGTGGCAGCAGCAGCATTAATAACTGGAAGTATTAGTTAATGGTTGCCAAATTCGGCACCCGTTTTAATATCTAGGAAGCAAAGATTATGATAACTTCATAACAGAAAGGTTCTCAAGCATTGACAATGTTGAGGTACAAGTACAACTACACCAAGCGTATGTAAAACTTGAACTGAAAGCAAACAAGGAGGTTCAAATACAAAACAAATCTCTTCCATTTGCCTGTATAAATCTGGTTCTGATGTGTTCTAAAAACCTACATAAAGAAATCTGTAATTTGATGCATCCAATGCTTACTGCTTTGACTTGTAAACATTTTGAACATCTTAACCTTCAGACTGGTATGGAAAAAAATTAGAAAAATGTTTAAAAACCAAATAAGTAAGCTTGCATAGATTACAAGAGCTGGGAAACAAATTGCACTTACATGGAAAGAACTGGAATTGCTAGTATTGCCCAGTACATGCAAAAAAGGAAAAAATAAACATGTATCAGCATCTTCAATGTTAGTTGGCATGTAAATGGTCAACTCCTAATAATCTTTTATTTAAAACTTTCTTGACAAGGGAACTCTCAGCAAGCTCCAAAGAAAATAAGACTACAATGAACAAAGTCACGTAAATGGGTTTGTTTCTCTTGATTCCATAGTTATATAATTAAAATCCAAAAACTGTATACTCTCTACTAGAGATTAGCATGCACTGTTTTCTTCTGGTTTGATCCAGTAATTGTTTCTTCTAACCTTTTAAATCAACGGAAAATGCACAGATTAATAGGTAATGAACAAAGACAAGTCATCGAAGAATAATAAGTAAATCAAGCTATACTAAAATTTTCAAAAATTCTTCCTAGTTTCACTTGATATTTGACCAAACCTTATCTGTTAGCTTAAAGACAAATATGTTTGAGAAGAGGGCTATCACCATTACATACTCATTAAGTTAAACAATCGAAATGGTGATAACTCAAACTTGATCTTTGGAAGAGAAACAAAAGCCCATGAAACAGCTCCAATGAAAGGTTCCGTTGGTATCAATCGCAACTTAACCCAAAGTTCTCCATCAATATCAAAATCTCGAACACCGACTGGCACAACAAATGGTATAATGCCAAATTTTAAAGACAACATCAACAACATGCGAGCGCCACCGGTATATCGAATTCCTATCTGATACCTACACCAAAGTAAATGGAAGTTAGTTAAAATGCACTCTCAGGTTTGCAAATGGAACTTCCAACAATAAGCCTCAAATCATAGCCCATTAAGCACCAAATTTAACATCATACTATAAACTTGGCAACTAGAATATCCATGCATAAATAAACATATGAATCAACAATCATAGACAGTCCGATTGCTATAAAAGAGCAGAGTAACAAGAAATGTTCTAATAGTGTTTAAGTGGTGAAAAACGCACTGCAAATCGTTGTCTCGCCGGGAAGTCTTGCGCTCGACATTCCTAACAGATAAAGGCTCATCCCCTAAAGAAAACTGCTTAATTTCCACTCTCTGGACATAACCAGGCTTCTTAAGATCGTCAATAACAGGCTGCAATAACCCAATGATCCAATTCTCAATCCCACCTCTATAAACTTTCCACAACTTCCCCAACACCATATTAACCCACTCAACCGACTCTTTCCTCTGCAAATCCTTTTCCAAGAACAATGAGAAACTCGTTGGGACTTGTGGCCAAACTCCACTTCCTCCCATTCTAACACCATCCCCATCCGATTTGCCCCTCCTTTTCCTCGCAGTCCAGATTTTATCAAAAGCAACCCCAACAAAAAAGAAGAACACAAACAACCCAACAATGTTTCGGTTAATTGGAGGGGAAGGGATTGGGTGGATAACACCCAGCTGAGTCCTTAACTTGTCAACAATGGGGTCTTGTTGGAAATTAGAGAAATTCAAGCCCATTTTGACAGAAGATTCTTGACTTTCCCCATTAGCAAACTCATCTTTAAACCCTTCGGCTACGAGGTTTTTAGCTACCTTTACATTAAGCTTGTTTGGCTTCGAAGTGGGGATTGCACAAGCAAGGAGACAAAGTTTCCGGTGTGGAATGAAAAGAGTGATGAGCCGAACTTTGGGTGGCGGAGACTTGTTGGTTTTACGAGACCAGAGTGGAGGAAGAAAAGGATAGCTGAAACAGGAAGTAGAAGATTGTGGAAATATCATTTATCAGAGTTAATGATAAGAAGAATTTCAGTGCCCCAGTTGAAAAGTGGGGATAACAGAAACCATAGCTGTTGTTGTTGGTGATTATAAACATGAATAAACCGCAGAATTACATGGAGAAAATAAGCAAAAACAAATCAAAACGAGAGCTTGGTTTTCTTATCTTTTTTGTTGGTTTAAATTGAGCTTCCAAGGTAAGAGAAAATGGGGGGAAATCAGGAAATGGTGTCGAAATGGAAGAAAGGGATGGAACGAGTGGGAATCGAGAAGATGTGATGGACAGCAAAAGAAGCGAACAGACCTGGAAATTGTGTGTGGCGCTGCGATGGCAAACTGGTCACGCAACGTCTATTTCCCCCCCCCCCCCCCCGATATATTTAGTTTAAGATTTTATTTTATAACATTTTTAAAAGCATATAAATATTATATAACTAAAATTATTATATTACAAATATATAAAAATTACTATTATCATATATTTATATATGATGAAATTAAAATTTAAGTACTACTGTTATATGTAATTTATATAGATTACTAAAAGTTCAATGTATGTTTTTCTAAAACCAATATATTAACTTATATAGATATATTATAATTATAATTAATATTAATAATAAATTATGAATTTTTATCATTTAAATTTGATCTCATTTCTATTTAGGTCAATAAAATTTGACCGAATTTTAGATCATAAATGAAAATGTGATAAGGTAATCATATATGTAGATATGAATTGCTTTTGTTAACATGTCATCGCATTATTTTGTATTGTATTTTTTTCCAAATATGAAAATTTTATATTTTCATCATTGTGTCACATAGACATTGAAATCACCATTCTACCACTTGATACATTAATGAAATCGTCTCATCGTCTCTTCTCAAATCAATTTTTATATTAGTGAATTTCAATAAAAAATTTATAAGTTTTGAAATCTCAAACTACTTTAATCTATAATATCTATCGTTCGATCAATATGTAATCAAAATATATAATTTATTCCTTACTTCGTTACCTTATCGACGTTGAGATTTAAAAGAAGATATTTTATTATCGAGAAATTAAAGAGAATTTTAAATCAATGTTTCTCATAGAAAAAGTAAAAAAAAAATTGATACATATTCATAATTTTTAAAAGATAAATTCCAATTATAATGAGTTAATTGTATCACATGTCCTTTAAGTATGATCCTCATTTTAAAGTAGTCCCTGAACTTGTAAATATTTCAATATCATCCCTAAACTATATTATCATTCTAAATTAGTCCTTAAACTTTTGAGTATTTCAACTTCATCCCCAAATTATGACCTTTATTGTAAATTAGCCCCCAAACTTTTAGAACATTCTAATTTTACCCCAAACTATACGCATATATTAATAACATCCTTTGTTAATAAAATCGGTAGGCCAAATTATATTATTATATGTTTGAAAAAACCAAAATTTAGGTTAAACAATGGTAGGAACTAATTACATATTTGGATGAATTTGAGGATGAAATTGGAAGATTCAAAATTTTGGGGAACAATTTAGAAAGAGAGTCATAGTTTAGGGGGTGAAATTAGAATGTTAAAAAGTTTAAGGACTAATTTTGAATGAGTCATAGTTTGGGATGAAATTGGAATATTCAAAAGTTTAAGGACTAATTTGAAATGAAGGTTATAGTTTAGGGACATATGATGAAATTAACCCTTATAATATCATAAAACATTTAACGTTAAAATGATTAAAATCAAAATAAATTGAAATTTTAATGATTAAATTGAAAATTTTAATTTTAATAATCGAAATAACTTTGAGAAAAAGTTGATGAAATTTGTAATTTAACAAATATTAAAAGAGAATTATTATTATATATTAATTTTCCCCCATTCCCCAGTCGCCTTATATAGTTATATTCCATAGTATAGAAGAAGAGTAACCAAAGCAAAACCTAAAATGGCGACAACACTCGCAAATAGAGCTGCCCAAAATCAAAGTGCTGGTCTATTGAGGCTCTCATTCAACTTCTTGAGGGATCTCTCAACTTCCACTTCGACTCAAAAACCCAGCGCTTCCTCCTCCTCAACTTCCAAGAAGCCGAAAAGGAAAAAGAAGAAGAACCTTTTCGAGGTAGCTCAGTTCTTACCCGACTGGGGGCTTGGTTACCACATGGCTAAAACTCATTGGACCGATGTTTCCTATGAAATCACCAAGATCAATCTTTATAAGGTCCTCTTCTACTCACTCTTTTACTCCTCCAATAAAAGAAAAAAAGAAATTTCTGGGTTGGGTTTCTTACGTTCGTGTTCATTTTTAACGGAAAGGAATGATTTTTGAATCATGGGTGTTTTGCTTTAACTGATATATGTGAAGCGCTGATGGAGTTAAATGGTTCTATCCTGTCTTGTTTGCACAGTGTATTGTTTTTTATTATTATTAAATACATTTAGTTTATTTGTTGATGACATAATTTGGGAATTTAGTGGATTATGCAATCCTTATTATTGTTGGTCTGTTGTTAGGGTTTATTTGGTTTGTGTTTGTTTGCAGGATGGAAAGCATGGCAAGGCATGGGGACTGGTTCACAAAGACGGTTAGTAGCACATGGAAATAGTTCATTTTGCTACATGGAGTAGGATATTGGTTAGAATTGTAGGGTTTAAGTTGTTGTTTTGTTATGGTCATTGTTGTCTGTCACTTAATGTTGGTGATATTTGCCATTTCAATCAAATGATGCTTGGCATTTTCTTCCCTATCTCAGTGCTCAAATCTCAATGCATCCTCAACTGTAGTAGTGCATGAGCTTATGATTTTATTTTCTAGTCTTGTTTGTGCTTTATTTTGGCCTTCGCTTATGTAGTACTTTATAATGTTTAGTCCCTTGACACTCTTGTTTTCTTGCTAATTTTGCGCTGAGATTTGCCTGGCGTAGAGAGAAAGAGTGATGAGCAAAATAGTGTTTAGCACATAAAAAATGATTCAAGATTGTTGTAGAAAGTGATAAAAGATTTAATAGGTTGGAAGACAAAGTTGCATTTGTTTCAGTCAGAAAACAAGAAGTTATTGAAACTTAAATGTTGTGCCTCATATTGGCTAGGATCAGAAGAAATCAATGAAGAAAGTGAGAAATGGTATAGTTTGTATAGAAAAGAGTTAAGAGGAGATTAGATACCTAATTGCTGCTTCTGGATTATGGTTAGAAAAGCACACCGATGTTATTTGTACAAATGTGGATTAGGAGATTGAATGGACTATCATATGGTACATTGCTATACTTGATGAGCATTTGCAATGTCCTAGACCCATGTTAGAAAAATGGTAATTCCTGAATTGATGTAACTACTGCAAATATAATTCGGGAAGAGTAGATTTTATTTCTGCATTTAACAGTATTTGCTATTTGATTAGATTTCTCTATCTGCAATTACTGTTACATGTGGTTTAGTTGATATTAGTGATGCCTACTGCAGGTGTTCCGGCTGCAGATGCTCCCAAGAAAATAAGTGGAGTTCACAAGCGCTGTTGGAGATACATTCCACATTTGTCCAAACCCGGAGATACTGCTCCAACCTCGATGAAACCTGCAGAAAATGCTGCCCCAAAGCCTGAAGCTCAACTAGCTTGATGCATTGCCTTGAATTATAGATGCTGGTAACATGCTATTGTATTGTTGACCCATCCTTTGCATTCGGTAGGCATTTAGTTATTTCTGGATCCACTGGAGCTTTCATGCATCAACAACTCTGCTTTAAAACGACCCAACATTTTACTGGCACAATGATAAACCTGTAATCGGACCTAAAAGTTTTTAAAATTTTCCTTTGTTTGACGCAGCATTCTGCTTCGTTTTCTGTTTTAGTTTTTGTGCCTGAAATTGAAGGTAGTAGTATCGTATCGAAAATTTTAGATTAACCAGTTGATTTAGGTTATTACCACAAAATAAGACAGCCTGCTAGTTGAAAGTGAATCGTGCTCGATTACATCACAATTATCTTTAATCAATCTGTATATGCATGGACGATTTTTATATAATTGATATACAGATCTCCTTGAAATGGAGCCCAACAAAGAAAATATCACACTAATAGTTACTCGTTGTCTATAAAGATTGGGTCGAACATCAAATACAAATTATCATTGATCTCAAAAGTTTTATCTTATTTATAGTTTCGATCTCTTGAACCTAACGTCGATTTTCATTTTTTGATCTTCTCCATTTAATATTTAATACTTATATAAATTTAGATTTTTCCCTGATGAATAACAAGTTCTCTATTGAAATTTAATTTTAAATAAAATAATGTTACTAATAAATAATATTTGACCTTTTCAAGTTTTTCTATTTTTTAAAAGAAAAAACTCAAATATCAATTTTGTGGTACTTTCCAAAATTTTCTCGTTATCTATATTTTCTCTCCCATTAAATCTCGTCGTTTTGATCGCTATGGTTCACTTCGTTAAAATCTCATTCCTTCCTTTATACATATATAATAAAGTTATGTCTTCATTTTTCAAACTCCTTCCAGAAAAATGAATCCAATAGATATCCACTCAGAGCAATATAGAGCCGATGACGGTGATCAAGAAACTATACCTGTCGGCGGATACAACGGCGGGGTGTTTCCATCCCGCCGTGGCATACGGTTAACATGGCGTGAAAGAATATTCAAATTCTGAAGTTAATAAATTCCTAGATTCCGACGTAGCTAAGGAGGTTAATGATCAAACAAATGACAATGGAAGTGGCCATAATCAATACATACCACCATCAAAACTCAAACTCATTTCCCGAGACTGGAGCCACCGAAGCCGAAAGTGCAGCGATCGAAGTCGTTATCGATCGTCGAAAGCATGCCTTCGATAGGGAAATTCATTAGGGAACGGAGCACCAGTTTTTCGGCGGCGATCGTGAACAATTTGTCGTCTTTGAAAGAAGACACTGGCGATATCGCGGTGAAAAACAATTCGGTAAACTTGGAGATAACATAGTTCAAAATCCCCAGCGTGAAAGTCGTAGTGCAGCTGAAAAGCGAAGAAGATCAACTCAAAGATCGAATAACGTTGTTCACGAAGTCGAACTGTGAAAACTGCATCGTCGCTCGTAAATTCTTCAAAGAGACAAGGCATCGGTACGTCGAAATAAACATCGACATGTTCACCAAAAAGATCGAGGAGCTGATCGAGAGAACATGAGACGCCGAAGTGTCGAAAATATTCTTTAACGATTGCTTGATAGGCGGATTGGGGACTGTTAGGTATGGCTCATAAATATACCGGTAAAGAGGACAGGGGATGAAGTGGAGTGAGCGAAGTGAACATCAATTGTCCTTACAAAGAAAGTCTCGTAGTAGGGGTTACGATTATGTGGGTTGGGGTGCGGGGGCGCAGCCTCGCGGTACGGTACAGAGTTATATTTGTAAATATGTACCAGGGTTTATTTATTATAAATAGAGATGTAACCTAAACCTATGAGACATTGAATAAAACTTCTAGCGCCGTCTAGGCACCGAGGACGTAATCATATTGTTGAACCTCGTTAAAATTCTTGTGTTCTTTCGTTTTTCTTTACTCGATTCTTCAATAATTGGTATCAGATGTCATAAGCAAAATTCGAAGTTGCGAAATTCAATGGTCAGGGTAACTTCGGATTATGGCAAACAAGGGTGAAGGATTTGTTGGCGCAGCAAGGGATCTTGAAGGCTTTGCGACCTACAAAGCCGACGTCGATGGAGGAGGAAGATTGGGAAGAATTGCAACAGCGAGTGGCAGGAACCATACGATTATGCTTGGCGGACGAGGTCATGTATCACGTCATGCATCTGTCGTCTCCAGATGAAATTTGGAGGAAGTTGGAAAGTCAGTTTATGTCCAAATCCTTAACGACTAAACTGTATCTAAAGCAGCGACTGTATGGGCTGAAGGTGCAGGACGATCAAGATTTGGCGCAACACTTGAATGTCTTCAATCAAATCATTTCTGATTTGTCTCGACTTGATGTGAAAATTGAGGATGAAGACAAAGAGATGATTTTGTTGTGTTCGTTGCCTCCCTCTTATGAACACATGGTGACTACTCTTACATATGGGAAAGAGACTATCAAAGTTGAGGAGATTACTGCAGCCTTGTTGGCTCACAACCAGTGGAAGCAGAATACATGGGAAATCTCTCAAACTGATAGCTTATATGTAAAGGGTAATCGAGACCGTAGATGGAAGCCAGAGAAAGCATGGTCTGGAAAGCAGAATTTCAGATCCAAATCTAGGGATAAGAAGACAATTCATTGTTACAAGTGCAAGAAGGCGGGACATATGAAGCGAGACTGTCCGAAGTTGAAAAAGCAGACTGATGAGAAGCGTGATGACTCATCTAAGTCTGTGAATGTGGTCGAGGATGACAATTTTGATTGCAGTGAGGGTGATATGCTCTCTATTTCAACGACTCAATTAACGGATGTTTGGATTCTCGATTATGGATGTTCTTATCACATCACGCCAAATAGGGAATGGTTTTCGACATACAGATCGGTTAATTCTGGTTTTGTTTATTTGGGTGATGATCGATGTTGCAATATTGTTGGTATTGGTGAGGTCAGAATTAAGATATATGATGGCTCTATTCGGACGTTGAGTGGTGTTCGGTATATCCCATATTTGAAGAAGAATTTGATTTCTTTGGGCACTTTGCACAAGAATGATTTTATCCCTAAGGCTGATGAGGATAGGGAAACCATTCGGATTGTTAAAGGAGCTTTGACTGTGATGAAAGGAAAGATGACTGCAGGGAATATTTACAGATTGTTAGGGAGTGCCGTTGTAGGTAGAGTTTATTCGGTTGAGTCATGTGATGATACTACCAAACTGTGTTATATGCGTCTTGCTCATCTTAGTGAACGTGGTATGGCTTAATTACATAAAAGAAATCTGTTGCATGGTGTTAAAAGTTGTAAGCTCGATTTTTGCAAGTATTGTGTTCTTGGTAAACAGACTAAAGTTCATTTCAAGACTGCGAAGCACACAACTGAAGGGATTCTTGATTATGTGCATTCTGATGTATGGGGGCCTTCCACGACATCATCTTTGGGTGGATATAGGTATTATCTTACTTTTATTGATGATTTTTCACAGAAAGTTTGGGTGTACTTTTTGAAACAGAAGTCTGACGTTTTTGAGAAGTTCAAGCTGTGGAAAGATGAGGTCGAAAACCAAACAGGACAAAAAATCAAGTGTTTGCGGTCTGACAATGGTACGGAGTACACAGATTCACAGTTTCTAAACTTCTGTAAAGAGCATGGTATTAAGAGGCATTTTACAGTGCGCAAGACACCACAACAGAATGGTGTTGCAGAAAGGATGAACAGATCGTTGAATGAAAGAGTAGATGTTTGCGGTTGAATGCGGGGCTTCCCAAACACTTCTGGACTAAGGCTGTTAATATGGCGTGTTATCTTATTAATAGATCGCCAAAGGCATCATTGGCTGGGAAAGTTGTAGAAGAGGTATGGAATGGTCATGATGTTACTTTTGATCACTTACAGATTTTTGGTTGTCCTACTTATGTACATGTACCTGCTGATGAGAGATCTAAACTAGATGCAAAATCGAATGAGTGTATTTTTCTGGGTTACAAGAAAGGTGTCAAAGGATTCAAGTTCTGGGATCTAGTTGCGAAGAAAATTGTGATCAATAGAGATGTTGTTTTTTATGAACATCACATTTGTCAGCAAAAGAAAGACACGACAATGGTGGATTTTGAGCAGTTTCTAGTTGAGAAAACATAAACATCTCAACGGACTTCTGGTGGTTCCGCCAGGGATGATTTACAGGATTATAGTCTCGCCAGAGACAGGGAGAGACGGACGAATATAAAGCCTTCGAACATATTGGGTTTTGAAGACTTGGTCTCTTTTGCACTTACTATTAGCAGTGATGATCTGGTTACTTTTCATGATGCAGTTACTAGTCAGGAAAACGACTAGTGGATGGCTGCCATGGTTGAGGAGATGGAGTCTTTGAATCACAATCGTACATGGGAGTTAGTTCGCCTTCCTGAGGGTAAGAAGCCGTTTGGTTGCAAATGGGTGTATAAGAAGAAACCAACAGTAACAGAAAAAGATGAGGAGAAGTTCAAGTCTCGTTTGGTAGTAAAGGGTTTTTCACAGTAGAAAGGAGTTGATTATGATGAAATTTTTTCTCCTGTGGTCAGGCACACTTCAATCTGAGCAGTACTTGCATTGGTGGCTAGTTGGGATTTGCATTTAGAACAGATGGATGTGAAAACTACTTTTTTGCATGGTGATTTAGAGGAGCAGATCTACATATGGCAGCCTGAAGGTTTCACTCAACCTGGAAACGAGCATTTAGTTTGCAGATTGAAGAAATCTTTGTATGGGTTAAAACAGTCTCCGAGACAATGGTACAAAAGGTTTGACTCCTATATGATCAAGATTGGCTATAAGCAATGTGAGTATGATTGTTGTGTCTATGTTAAGAGCCTTGATGATGATCCTTTTATTTTTCTATTACTGTATGTTGATGATATGTTAATTGCTGCGAAGAACATGGTTGATGTTATCGATTTGAAAACTTTATTGAGTCAGGAATTTGATATGAAAGATTTAGGTGCTGCAAAGAAAATTCTTGGAATGGAAATTTGCAGGGACAGAGACTCAATGAAACTGTGGCTATCTCAACGAGGTTATGTTGAGAAAATGCTAGAAAGGTTTGCGATGAGCAGCGCAAAACCAGTTAGCACTCCATTGGCGAATCACTTTAAGCTCTCATCAGAACAGTGCCCTAAGACAAAGATATGTCAAAGGTTCCGTATTCTAATGATGTTGGTTGCTTGATGTATGCAATGGTATATACTCGTCCTGATTTAGCTCATACTATTAGTCAAGTTTGTAAGTATATGTATAAACCTGGTAAGCAACATTGAGAAGCAGTCAAGTGGATCTTTCGGTACTTAAAGGGTATTGTGGGACATGGAATTGTTTTTGGTGGTCAGCAGGATAATCCTTTGGTTGTAGGATATGTGGATTCAGACTATGTAGGTGACTTGGATAATATAATATCTACGACAGGGTATGTCTTTACTCTTGGTGGAGGGTCTATTTGTTGGAAGTCTACTGTTCAATCTATTGTGGCACTATCTACAACTGAAGATGAATACATGGCAGCGATTGAAGCTGCAAAAGAAGCTTTATAGCTTACTGGTTTAGTGAAGGAGTTGGGTGTTCAACAAGGTGGAATTCAGTTGCTTTGCGACAATCAAAGTACTATTCATTTGGCTAAGAATCAGGTATATCGTGCTAGAACTAAGCATTTTGATGTAAGATTTCACAAGATCAGAGAGTTGGTTGCATCTGGAGAGATTTTGTTTCAGAAGGTACATACTGATGAGAATGTCGTTGATATGTTCACCAAGCTAGTTACGACAAACAAGTTCAAGCATTGCTTGAACTTGTTGAATGTTTCGAGTTATTAAAGAAGTAAGGTAACCTAACCCACATTGAATGTTTCCTAAGGGGCAGTATATTCGCCAAGGTGGAGATTTGTTAGGTATGACTCATAAATATACCGGTAAAGAGGATAGAGGATGGAGTGGAGTGAGTGGAGTGGACATCAACTGTCCTTACAAAGAAAGTCTCGTAGTGGGAGTTACGATTATGTGGGTTGGGGGTACGGGGTCTGCGTCCCCGCGGTATGGTATAGGGTTATATTTGTAAATATGTACCAGGGTTTATTTATTATAAATAGAGATGTAACCTAAACCTATGAGACATTGAATAAAATTTCTAGCGCCGCTTAGCTACCGATGACGTAAGCACATTGCTGAACCTCGTTAAAATTCTTGTGTTCTTTCGTTTTTCTTTACCCGATTCTTCAACAAGGACATTGAAATCATGGAGAGAGAACGGGGAATTGGAAGAGAAAATGATCGAACTGTTGGGTCCGAGATGTCCCGAAGAAGCACCAAAAGCACCAGATTACGGAATCAACTACGAGGAAGACGAAGAAGATGAATTGCTTGAAGTAGTGAATTATCTCAGACGGTGTTTGCAGATTCAGGACCGTTTGATTAAGATGAAAATGGTTAAGAGTTGCTTTGTTGGTGCTGATGTGGTGGAAGCCATTATTAACCACCTTGACTGCGACAGAAGAAAGGTAAATCGAACTCTGAATCTCAGTTCAGTTGATTTCTAAAATAACTAATGTTAATATCAATTAAATCAAAAATCGATAATCTATCGAGATGTTGTAGGGCATTGCAACTGCGAAGATGATGGCTCAGAAGCACTTCATCCACCATGTCTTCGGGTTGGGAACATTCTATTCTAGAGTTTATATATTCTTATATATTTTAACGTTTATAATTCTAAACTTTACAATAATTCTAACTTTTAAATTCTGGGTTTATATCTTATATTCTAAATCTTAAATATTACAAACAATATTAAAATAGATAGAGTTGTACAATTTATGTTTTATACAATTTGTATAGGGATAGACGTGTGTCGGGTCAGGTAGAATTATTGTTCTATCTGAATCTGACTCAAATTTTACATCTCTCACCCTTCATCCAACTCGACTTAAAATATTGACTTGATATAAATAAATATATAATTATTATTTTTTCCGATAAAATAAGGATTTAATTAAAAAAACATAGATAGAGATATTATCTTATATATATATATATATAATGACAATCATATTATTATTCTGAGTCGGTTTGAGTTGAATTTTTTCACTCGTACCCTAAATCTGACCCAACCTTATCTTTTTTTTAATAAAAAAAACAACTCGACAAAAAACTTAATCTTATAATATTATGTTGTGTCATGTTAGAACTTGTTGGGTCTGAACCCTATGCCCATCTTTATATGGATATCAAATAATTTTTCTAATAAATTATAATAATATAATGTTGATTTCCTAACACTCAAAATGAATTAACTAATTTAATTATTTTAATTTTTGTGTAGGGAAAATGATTTCGAAAAAGGGAATCATTATTATCGTTTCCTTGAACATGAGCCATTTATTATGGGATGTTTCAATTTTCGAACACTAACAAATGATAATGAACCAAAGCAAGCATCGTTTATAGCTGATAGACTTTCCAAGCTAATGTTGGCCATTGTGGAAATGGATGGTTATGTATCCAATAACAGACTCCATGTCGATTATCTTGCCATCAGCAAAAGTGAAGAATTCCGCAGGTTTTTTTTTTAATTCATATTGTAGAAATGAACATTTTAACTATACTTATGAAAAGTTAACATTTTGATCTAAAATGTTAAAGTTATTGTTTGTTAATTTAAATATTTTTATGTACGTTTATATTTGAGAGTTAAAAATAATTTGGATCGAGATTCTTAAATTATCTTTCAATAGTAACTGAATAAATCAAATGAATTGAATATGAAATCTCATTGTTGTTATTGTTGAAGCATGTACATTAAGTTGGTTCCTGATGTACAAAAGATCAATCTTTAATTATTCACTCCAAATAAGAGTTTAACCTTCTTCTTGAACTTATACAATGCAATAGTGATCCATGTTGTAATTAGCATCGGACACCCTGAAGGAATACTCGATAATAAAGCCTTTTTCTTAGATTTTCAATATGTAATAGGAGGATACCCTTATTCCCCTGCACCATAGAGAATGGAATATTGAGAAACAATTGGAAGCCTCCTTATTCTCTAACCAAACCCTTTTACAAAGAAGACCGACGTCTACATGTAAATTCTAATTCTACCGATTCAATTGTCTTTCCTAAAAGTTTAGGTCAAATTACTATTTTCGTATCAATATCACACTCAAAATTCCTTGTCATTTAAAGGAGAAAATAGGTTGGGTCAAGCGGTAAGGAATTCTTGATATCACCTAGGGATAGAGTCAGGATCGAACATTAAAAGGGGTCATATTTCTGGATTTTAAAAATATAAAGGTTTATTAAGTATTTAAACTCAAATTTTAGAGGACAAAGCTTAATTTATCTAATACTAAAACTTAAAGGACTTAAATTGCGATTAGATCAAAATATTTGAGATGGGCACGACCCCCTCCCCTCCCCTCCTTTATTTTCATCCATGATGATCTAAAAGAAACAATTTTGAGAACCTAGACTATGTTTAGGGATATGATCTAATTCGATTTTAAATATAATCGGGATCTAATACAATTCTCATACATCAAAAGTCTAATTAAAAATTAGGTTAATTTTTCGTTTTTAAAATTTGCAGCAAGAATGCAAGATTCTTATGTGGCATAAAAGTTTGGTTCGATCCTTAACATCTAATGAGAAATTTTAACCATGTTTGTGATATAGACCGAAACATAACACTAATAAAGTAGAATGACCAAATTATATAACATTAAAATATAGGGACTAAATCAAATTAAATATAGTAGGGATGAAAAAATATAATTTAACCTAAAAATTTTACTTTATAAATCGTGGAAGCTCGACTTGTTTTAATTTCATTTTAAATTTGACAGCAAGTTCCGATGAAACTTAATCCATTGATTCATTTCGGATTATGCAAAGGAACAAGATCGAGCCCGAAGCTAAGGTTTTTCACAGCCCAGAATGTCCAAGAAGAGCTCAAAGCTGCAGCTATGGAGTACTTTCAGAACGAAGGGATAGAGATTGATTGGGAACTAAGAACTGTTTGCTTAACGCGAATAATCAGGTGGTGAGCTTTTTTTCCGTTAAATTGAATCCTTAAATACAATTCAGCGATGAGATTAAAATTGACATTGGCCTTTTGACGAACAGGTTCAGTGCAGATTTTGGAGAAAATTAAAGGGAAATCTTGGAGTGGGTGTTGAATTACCATCATCTATCAGGATTATGACTGGTCTGGTAATTTGTGACTGTCCCTTGTTATCACTTAAATCATCACATGTAATTAATTTTCTTTTAAAAAAAAATTCAATTCACATGCATAAATCCAAAACGGTTTCGTATCGATATGCATTGGTTGGAAGAATTCTTTGTGTATATGGTACCTCAAGGTCGAAGGTATTCAAGTAATTTCCGTACTTTTAGGGGATGTTTGGTTCAAGGATTGTGGGATTCTCATGTTTGGTTGGTTGGGAATCTCATTCCCGGTAATGTTTTATTACCAATAGTAGATTTTTTTGGGTATATTACCAGGAATGTCATTACCTCCCTTCCCTTAGGTATTGTAACATTACCGGCGTTTTGGACTAAAATGCCCTTAAATTTTTATTTTTTTACAAAAATATCCTTCTTCTGTCATTGAATAATAAAAATTCTACGAAGGTTAAATTACAAATTTATCCTTAAATTATTTTAGATTTACAAAAAAAAATCTATAATTAAAATTTTATATAAAGTTCAGGGGTTAAAAAATTTACCCTTTCATTAAACCTTTTTTATATTTTTAATGTTGTAAACAAATATATATAAATATTATGAATTTAATTTTTTAAAGAAAATATATAAATATTTTACAATTTGTAATATTATACAAATATATAATAAGGACAATTTGGTCAAATATACATTCCAATAATCTTTTATTCCTTTAACCAAACACGGTAATCTTACATTTATGCTAAACCAACCAAACACAAAATACAACATTCCCAATAATCATATTCCCTAGTAATCTTTTATTCACACTGTTAATCTTACATTCCGTGAACCAAACGCATCCTTAATGTAAAATGTAAGTTCCATAAGACGAATCGAAAAGTCTAAAATTTAATTTAATGGATCCAGCTCAGTTGGTAGAGCACAAGGTTCTTAACCTTGAGGTCGTGGGATCGAGTCCCACGGAGGGCATTTCATAATTCGGAGGTCTCTTACGGAAGCTGCTCTTAACCTGGTGTTGGGGGTAGCCTACTATCTTACCTCCCCTTACTCCATATATATGGGAAAAAGGGACCGCCATTATATGATTAATTTGTATAATTGATGTTCGATAATTGACATTTAATACATCGACTTTGAGTTTAACCATTTGCAACTAGAAATGACTAAAATATTTACATTTTACGAGTTTAATCTGTTTTTATCATATCAAGTTACTTTTTTCTAATTTAACAAGATTAAATTTATGAAGTAGAGAGTTGAGATCAAAATAAAGTTGAAAAGCGAATAATTATAAAATAATTGCACATATATTTAAAAATAATCATTATAATATCATTCTCTAATATTTTCAATTATTTTTTTCTTTCGAATAAAAAAATGTTTATATCAAGAGTGAAATTTTAGATTATAATTTGATACAAACTAAGATCAAATGAAATTATGAAAGTCTTTAATTTTAGGTCAAGATCCAACCCCTCGTATCCATCCCTATTTGCAACGTTCAATTAATCAAAACGTTAACAATCTACATCATACAGATAAAATTCAAATTTCGACGGTTTTCATCTCCTTTATACAAAAAGAAAAATGTTACAAAAAAGAGAAAATCATCCTAACTCAGTGAGTTGACATTGTTGACCTGATCAAAGTGTTTCAAATTGGTCTAAATACCGAAACAAGAAGATAACAAAATACAAGTAATTACATCAATAAAAAGCACCTTTACAAGATGATAACTAAACCTGTTAGAGATTTTTTCTTCTTCTTATTTTCTGTTTTCCCCCCTCCATGGATCAAGGAGATGATAAGTGGTCTGCAATTCTTATTAGCTGGTGCTTGGATTTTGATATCTTGTGGGTAACCATTTTCAAGCTCCAAAAATGGGGGATCTCTACAAGTTTATCCATGGTGGAATCGTACCAGCTCCCGAAGGCATTTACAGTCAAATTTTCTTTTTCTAATTACACGAACCAGATATATCCAAACTCGATCTTGACAGTTCCATATCAGCACCTTGGTTCCTGCTTGAGATGGATCCCGCTTGACGAGCCAAAAACCATCGTCTGGGTACACAAGGAAAAGCAAAACAAGGTAACACATGTATGCACCATAGCGATTATGTTGATCAAAATAAGAAAACATTGATAAATCCAATCTATTGCCTTGTGGTACTTATTTCCTGCCGTTAAATCGACATTAGAGTATATGGGGTTGACCTCGAGATGTATATTCAATCCTAGCCACAACCCTCTCCATCTCAAGAGCAGCAGGATTCCATGATAAAGTTCATTACTCGGTCTATGTGACCTAACAACATGCAAAGATGACTACATGCAGAGCTGGAATTCATCAACGGTGCAATACAAGAATACTGGAGTCAACAAGTTCTCAAGCAGCTTGTGGTTCCATGATGAAATTTGAAATCTAAATGCACGTTAATGAAGATGGAAAACATGAACAGAGTGTAAGACCAAAAGAGATTGATACTCGGATCAACCCAATTAAATAAATTTAATGACAGGCGCCGTTAATTGGATATATTCTGACTTCTGGTGTTTTATATGTGATTCCACCTTTTGTGCATCAATCTCAGCACATGCAACTAAATCAATTTAAATGCAAACCTACCTGAGGCAAGGCATTAGTAGCTCCAGGCAAGATGATATTTGCTAAATCCTCATTAATAGATATGGGCAATGGTGGCCTATGGCTCATTAAACCTGGTCTACCTCTCATGCTGCAAGAAGTCACAGCTGAAAATTAATAATCCAACACATGGGAGACAGCAAACACAATGAATAATCAAAATGCTTGCCAAAGGGCATTAATCACCACTTGGCAATTATAAAGAAAATCAACGCACTTGTTTAGCATTGCGGTAATATTGTTCCTCGCGTGACAAAAGAGATCGATGTTATCCTGTAACTGTTTATAAAAGCTTTATTCAATAAACCAACCTCGAAATACTGTTAACAAAAATCACACATGATGAGGCAATCACATACAAGATTTAAAGAGCACTTTGGAAAGAATAATAAATAGAATCCATGACACCTCCTTCGAAAGACGAGTCCACTTGTAACAATATGCAATGGCCAGGGTGGATGCAGGAATACATTTCTTATTTCTTGTCAAATAGGGTTAGTACCCATACGAGTGAAGGAGCACGAAATAGTAAAAGTAAAACTAGAGACATACAGGCCAGATTGTTGCTATGTACTACAATGAAAAACCAGATTGGCTGAAATCACTGACATGTTATATGCCACCTTAAATCGGTTATGTATAATTTTCCCACTCCCAATCTAAAGCCATCAACACTAATCAATTAATAAAGGAATCATTATCACCTTAGTTAACCTCTTAAACTTTACAGCAAACACTAACGTAACTTGCAGATTAAAAAAGTAGCATAAACCAAAAGGCATAGAACTCACCGCATTAACAACTATTATTTAATGCATGATTGCATATTTTTTTGATAGAAGTTGGAGGTCTCATTAAAAACTTCCTTCGTATTCGTTCACATACTTAGAAGTAAGTTAACGAACATTGAAAGGAAGAAAAGAGTACCTCATATTTTATTAATGATAATACCCAATACAAAAGACAACACGGAAAATCCTCCTATGGTGATATACACCATTACAACAAACACCTTAAACTCTTAAATCCTCATCCAAAGCCAAAATCGAATCACCTTAAATCTAAATACACCTCCATCAATGGATCAAAAACAACACAAAAGAAATTAGTTGACCCTTATTTCCATATGTAATGGGATAAGGGGGAGGTATGATAGTAGGTTGCCCCAACACCAGGTTGAGAGCAGCTTCCGTAGGAGATCTCCGAATTATGAAATGCCCTTCGTGGGACTCGATCTCACGACCCCAAGGTTAAGCTAAATCAAAGCCAATATAAACTAAATCAAAGCCACAAATGGAGAGACGAGATCTAATGAGATTCGTCTTCTTTAGGAGCCCAAGAGTTTGGTTTGAATGAAGGCTCTATCTCATGCACCATAATCTTGAAGGAGTTGTCACCAACCTTCAATTCCATCGTCGCATCAATTCTCGCCTCAGCATTTGTGAGGACTTGAATTTTTGCACGATGAAAGGATGATGGTGATTGACAACTTTCGTCGATTGCTAGTAAATGACCCCACTTATCAGCAATGTTCTTGAAAGTATCCCAATTCCATGTGTGAAAAGAAACACCCTCGCAAACTAACCATACTCGACGACACTCCATTACCAAACTCTCTGACCAAGCTTTGACTATGGAGAACCACTTTGCGAGAGTCTCTGATTTATCGATCTTCACACTTCTCAATGAAGCAAAATCTTCGAAAACCATTAATACCGCATTTCCAGCAGCTCTCATTAAGAAGAAGCCAGTGAGGCCCTTCGCATGCATTTGTCTAGCGAGATGACCGATTTTGATAAACTCTTTGCACCACCCAACTATACAATTGCTCAACACGTGAAGTTTTTCTTTATCTATAACGCCTTCAACTTCATAAAGATCCTTCCTCGAATCACCTTCCATCTCGGACTTGCGATGAACAACTGTCGATGACTTTCTCCAATAGGAGTGTCGAGGTTTGAATTTAGCAAAATAAACACTAATTTTGCTTCCATCGATATGAGAACCATTCATTTTTGAGATTGTTCTCTTTGCTTCATCGATTATTGCGAAGCGAATGAAATCAAAGCGAACTCCTTTTGAATTTCTTTTATTTGGAATAAAAGCATCAAGAACCCGACTGTGGGAGCGAAATAAAGATCCAAACCTCTTCCAGTGGATGTTCTCTGGTAAATTATCAATAAATAACGTGTAGCATCCAATCTTATCATTACTGCACCCCTTTGAGGTGGACTCCAACAGCATCCTCTCATATTTTTCCCCCGCCGCAGTCCTACACTACTTCTCTTTAGCCTTCTCCACTATCTTCAAAGTCGGCGCTTGCTGCTCCACTCTCTGTTTATGAAGCTCCGATTCCGTAACCTTCGGCACCAAAATCTCCACTCGATTCACCTTCTTATCCGGAATTTTCAAACTTTTTCCAACCTCTTTATCCCCACTATTGGACTGACGGCCAGCCTTAGCCCCGAGAGCTGCGGCTTCAACCCTCATCTCATCTTCTTCCTCGCGTTTCTTGGTCACCTTTTCCTCCAACACATGGACATCAGAACTTGATGGACGAACTTCTTTAGGAACGAAAGTTGAATCTGCTGTCTCCCTCCCAGTTGCAAGCTTGTAATCGACAGATTTCTTTAAGGTTTCTGCATCTTGCACAGCTTCTCTTGCTTCCCTTAGTTTAGCTGAAGACTCTTTAATGAGCTACTCAATATCAAGCCTTGTCTTATGCAATTTGTAAGTGAACCGAGGGAATTAACAAGGCGATCAAATGCCACAATAGCAGTTCGTATCTTGGAAAACCCCGCCTCCACAGACTGCGAAACCGAAGCATGTTCTGCAACTAGCATAGGCTTTTGCCGAGAGGACTTGTAATGGTGAGGGGTAGCAAGACCCACTTCAAGTTTCCGGGAACTCATTTCTTTTGTTTTGCTTTATCGTTGAAGAATAGCAAAGGAAGAAAGGGTGATGAACAGAACTAAAACTGCAGCTAAAGATCATCGGCGAACGTGGCTGACTTGATTGCTTTGTGGAGAGACGACAGACGCAAGGAGATGGAGAAAGTAAAGATAATGACTATACTGCTGTTGTAGTTCGCGCCGTCGTCGGAGAAAAAGAAAGAAGCGTCGCCAACAACTAATAGTCAAAGGGCCATGTCCAAGATCCACTGAGTTGTAGGCTCTCCCTGGTGAAACGAAGCATAGATCCTTGATGCTGGCGTCGAGTCGAAAAAACCTGGAAGTTTTGGTGATCAAAAGCCACCGGACGTGACGGCCGGTGCGTCGTCTGTCGGCGGCGGCGGGTGGCTGATGACGGTGGCAGACAACGGGTGAATGTCGGAGGAGAGAAAAAATTTCAAAAACGCCTGGGGGAATTTGAAATTTGAAAACGCGGGTTAGAGAGAAGCTGGAGCTTCTCTCACTAACACGTGAAGCTTTGCATGATTGCATATTGACGGCCAAAGAAATGTTTGAAGCTAGGGAACGATACCTTGTATGCAGAAAGATTGGACGCGATTTGGCTAAGAGTTTGAGCATTTTGCTTCAAAAGATGCATAGTTGTACCACAGATCCCTAAGAACATACAACAAACAAGCAGATTGAACATTAAAACAATACATTTAACCGCAAGCCAGAACAGTGAAATCAAAATCCTACTGCTTACATTATAGCACAAGCAGGCATAATTTGCTTATTAAACACTAAAACTTCACCACAAACTAAAAAGGGAAGGGAAGAATAACATATAAACAGAAGGAAATAAATAAACAGAATTTGTTAGATAATTTCAAGGAAAATGGACACTAAAGCCCAATTTAGAACAAAATTACTTTAATGATGCAAATTGCAATAGACAAAGTTGGACGTACTTAAGCATCATAATAGAATTTATATACGCAAACTAAAATTGAATAAACTCCTTAGCTTTATAGTTAAATGCCACAGGTGTTTAGGCTGTGCCATTATTTTGCTGATATTCAGAGTATGATCAGCTACTTCTCTGAAGCAAGCTGCTATATCCATTCTTTGACCTCATAAAAGAAAGATCAATCTCTATTCTAGTTATACAAATGGGAGATTCGGATAAATACTGATAGAAAGACACTAAATAAAGTTATCACAACCGAAAGAAGGATATCAATACTGCTATGTGTTAATATAGAATACAAACCTTCAGAAGGCATTCTTTCATTCTGGTCCAGATGGTGCATCATCAGAGGATATGCAGCCATGGTTTGTGGCAGAGATGAAGGCATATTCATCTTAGAAGATGATTCCACCAGCTTATCCTGAAGAAGTATGATCTTTATGGGTTCTTCAATCACATTATATCATAAAAACATTGGCTGTTTTCAGGAAACTAAAACAGGAAACCCTGTCATGGCATTCAACTTAGCAAATTGAGATACATTGAATTTACTTCCTGTTAAATTTTAGCTATCATTAACAACTTTGTTTGTGAAATGACTTGAAAGAAAGAAAGAAAGAACATAGGCAATCAAGAAAAACCTAATTCAACTTGAAAAATGAAAAGTAGGAAATTGCTGTTCCTTGTCAAATTCAAGCCTTAAATTTTATATTCCACCATCCATATTCTATGTGCTTCAAGAAGTTTAAGTATGTTTAAAATCATTTAGAGGGTAAAAGAATCTAAGAAATCAATAACTATTTCACAAAAAAGTTCATCAGCATACCTTTCTATTGTTCGCCTTTTTTCCCAAATTATGTTCTTCAGGCTTCCTTCGCTTTCTCTGTCAATTTCCGAGAAGTATAAGATAATTGGTTAAGCTGACACATTTTGGTCCAAGTTCTCTAGTATAGCTAATCCTGAACATGTTTCATTAATTGCACATTTCCAGTTTCCACCGCCATATAAAAACTAATAGTCTTATAAACCAATTTTCCATATGCAGACTTAGAATGAGAGCATATATCACTTGATACAAGACAATAAAAGTTAATACAAAAGATGTGAGGAAATCATCATTTAAAAAAGAAGGGAGCTTACTTGCATCCACCTACACCTCAAAGCAACATCACGAACGGTTTTATCACGCAAAGTAGCTGCAATCTTTATGTACTTCAAAATATTCGGCTCCTCTTTATATCTATATACATGTACAGTGAAATATTAAAATCAGCACTTAAATCTTAAGCTCAAAAACAAGTTATGCCTGATAAGTACCTCTTTGGAGCAGTTCTATCATAAAAATCAATTGCAAAAACACACAGAAATCCTACTAACACAACAAGGGGATCTGTTATTTTATATTAACTATGAAAAATTCAACTACCTACTTATATTAATGGTTCAGGCTTCTAACACTATCATATACAATAAGCAACCGAATACACCTCTAAAAGCTCTGAATAAAAAAAGCAAGAAGAAATTATAAACATACTTTTCAAGGCCATCCTCCAATATATATTGTTCGTCAGCAGACCACTCGGCGGCCAACCCTGTATCATGCTTGAGCCCTGCAACAGAATCTAGAAGGAAGGAAGATCCGGAAGAGTTTACCGGTTGGATTAAGGCAGGAGGGGTGCTAATGAAACTGGAATTCCCCGGAAAGAACATGGGTGGTGTTGCAAAGTAACCGTCCATCGGAATCATGTCGGAACTACTGCTAAAAGCAGCTGATTGGAACTGTAAAGCATACCGGTTCATAATGGATGCTAAATCTTCTTCATGATGGAGCACATAACTCGATCATCATGTCAATTTTTTCCTAACTTTCCACACAACTCAATAATCCACTTTACCCAGAAATTCAAACTAATTATAATGTGAAAAAAGGAACAAAATGATAGAAAAACTTATTTCCTTTTCCTCATCATCATACACTGTCAACTTCCTTCAAAAGGGTATCAAACTGTTTCTTGTTAATTTCAGCTAAACAGAACCCTACAATTGAAGCACTCGCATAAAAGGACAAATTACCAAAAAGAAAAATGTCATGTCAATCTCGGAAACTCAACCCCAAACCGAATCCTAAAAACAAAAGAAACCCCATCAATTTGAATTGGATACAGAAGAATCTAAGGTCAAAAACGACACGAAGAAAAAAACAATAAAGGACAGATACAGAGAGAGGATGGAGAGGGAGGGAAGTTACCTTTTCGTGGGCAACTTTCCGACGAAACCCTTATTGGTTGTGCCTTTTTCCTTCTCGCTTCAAAATTCAGGGAATGGGGTTCTTTGCTTTAGAGTAGTATCTCCATTTTCGTTGATGGAGTGACAATAGATTAGCTTTAGACACCTCTACCCATAGAAAGTGAAGCTCAAGGCAAAACGATGTAAATTAAGAAAACTAAAAAAAAAAAGTTTGGGCTTTTCTTGGTTTAATTCCACCAAATATCCTCGAGATGTAATATATAGTATTATAAATTAATCATCAAATTTTAAAACATTCTAATCAGATCATCAAAAGTATTATCAGCGTATTAATTAGGTCTTTCAGGTAAATCTAAAAATAAATTTAAACATTATATATAAGACCATATATGATATTAAACATGTTGATTAAAATAATATTTTATTATTTTTTGTGTTGATTTTAAGTTTTTATTTTCTCTTATGACGAACTCCATATCAAGTGTTCTGAGTCTCATTCTGTTTTTACTTATTGACAAGTTAGTTATATCCTAATATTTAATGTCCATTTTTTATATAATGTCTAAAAATTTAAAAAAATTGAGAGTTTAAATATATTCGATCTTACTTATTTATATGTAATATATAATAATCTCGATACACTTTAGTTTAATCGATAACATTTATTATCTTAAGTAATTATTAATCTGAAAGAAATATTTGGTGTGATATTAACAATTTAGTGACTCAATCATAACATCTTCAAATTGAAAGATTAAAAAGGCATAGTTTGAAGATATTGATAAAATTAACCCCTTCTTTTAAATTTTGATAAATATATAATATAAATATGGGGTGTATAATTGAAATTTGCAGATCTTATAAATCAACAACAGTGCGAATCCCCCATAAGAGCATTTGATGCCGATTATTATGGACTCTCCACCTTTCCTTTTTTATTGCCTTTATTATTATTTTTTATACGTTGTCTTCTTTTAACTGGGACTGTGCCTTTCTGTTTCTGTTTCCATGATTTGATTATCAGATTTTCCAGCAAAAAATCAAGCACCTTTCATTGATTTCAAGGGTCTACATGTATTAATAAATAAATAAAAAGGGTCTACTTCATGAAAAAAATATTTTTTGGTTATGAGGATCAATTAAGTTAAAACACATTTTTAATATACTTTATTATTTTAATAAATTTACACTATTTCTTATTTGTTATCATCTTCTTGCTTTCATCAACATCATATTTTTTTAATTTTTTTATAATAATTAAATATTAATTCAAATGGAGTTAATTCCCAGCTTCAAAAAATTTATTGAGGCATGACTTCAGTAATTTGAATGAATATTTGAAGATATATAATTTTAATATGAAATAATTTAATTAAGTTTAATTAAAAAAGCAAAATGTAACAAGTGTAAATTTAGTAAATTTCTATTTATAAAAATGGTTACCATTTTTCAAATAAAATCATTCATAATGGATTAATAATTGATTAAAGGACTTACAAATAATGCTATATTTGGTAAATTCATAAACATTGCTATATGCATATGGTAACAAGTTGTGCTGTGGAATTAGGAAACATAATAATGATTACATAAAAAAAAGTTTTATTGATTTCAATTTGAAACTTTATTTTTGTTTTTTCTTTAAAAAAATTAATTTAATTTTTTTAAAGATAAAAAGATGTTATATCTTTCAAGTAAGAACAAAGATTTAAATTATGAAATTATAAAAGGAACAAGTTGAATTAAGAGATTCATTTAATAATATACTTAACCTTGAGGTCGTGGGATCGAGTCTCACGGATGTCATTTCATAATTCGGAGGTCTTCTACGGAAGTTACTCTCAACCTGGTGTTGGGGGCAGCCTACTATCTTACCTCCCCTACCCCATTACATATGAGAATAAGGGATAACCATTTTTATAATATTTAATATCAAATGTTGATGGTTGTAAAAATACACCTATGGGCATGGATGGGCCTTTCAAAGGTCTAAAATTCATACATTTTAAGCCAACGCCTCGACATAATAATGAAATCATTATCAATGCATTGGGCCTTTTATGAGTTAGGTATAATATAACAACAAGAGTTAATTCATTATATGTCCCCAAACTATTGTTTTATTCTAAATTAATCTCTAAACTTTTGAATATTCTAACTTCATCAATAAATTTTGACCCTTATAAATTGATCCCAAACTTTTAAACATTTCAATCCATATTAAACTATCCATATGCGCTAATCATTCCACTTGTCATATAAACATTGATATGTATTATGTCCCTTGATCTCATTATTTATAATAAAATTAAAAGGTTCTTTAGTTTTTTTCCTTTTTGTTATCTTAATTTTTTTACAATACAATTAACATTTTTAAAGGTTTTATTATCATAGAAGATGTGATTAATATATGCTTATAATTTAAGGATGAAATTATAATGTTTAAAAGTTTAAGGATCAATTAAAATGAAAGATATAATTTAAAGATATTAGACACAATTTAACTTCAATTAAAAATAAAAATTGGATAAATATTAAATATAATTTATATTTAAACTATGATTTTCATTCTAAAATAGTCATCAAACTTTTGAGCATTCCAATTTCATTCTTGAATTATGATCATTTTTCTAAATTAATCATCAAACTTTTAAACCTTTTAATTTCTTATCAAACTATGGGATAATTACAATGTAATATATGTTCAGAATCTTTCTTCGTCATTAATAATGCATACACCTTTCAGATTCAATTGTTCGAACACGAATCCTCTAAAAAACAACATTCTATTTTACCATCGAGTTCACTTAATAGATTTATTTTAATTTCAAATTATTTAGACCAACCGTACAATTAAATATAATTATTTTTATTAAAATATAATTTTGGTTGCAACATGGCTGCCTTTGTCCCAAATGCATGCATGCACCTTGAGGCAAAGAATTGCTTTGTATGATACAAAATAAATATAATATGATTTATTTAGTATATAATATATATATAACACAATTAAATATATATTTAATAAATATTTGCATATAAATTCATTATCACCCTGTCCATAATCATTCGTTGTAAAGGATGACAAAAAATTAATATTTATATTTATATTTTTACATATTTAATAATTTATTATGTCTTCAATCAATGGAACCGACCGACCCCAGGCAAAGATGTATTAAAAAATATACAATACTAATATAATGAAATATGTTATAATATGAGTTTTTGTTAATAAAGGTCAAACATCCCTGCCTTGGGCTTCGATTTACTATAATATAAATTTGATAAATTCCTTTATTAATTATTTTTATGCTCTTCAAGAGCATCTGATACTCTGCTAACAATAATATGCCACCAGAATATTTTATTTTATTTATTAAAATAGAAAATCCTCACGAGTGCCCACAATTTCTTATAAATATATACTATGGTTCGTAATATAATATAACTAATTTTTAACTATTTATTAAAATTCATGTATGATGAATTTGAACAATGAAATATTTTATTATACGTATGATATATAAGTTTATACGCTTTTTTTAGAGTTTCACTTGAATTTTATTGCACTCTGATTTAAATATTTGTGGTATAATTTATTTAGTAAAAAATAATTATTTTTTGAATAGTTTGGGTTGATTATAAGGTAATATTTGTTCAAAATTTTCTTAATTAAATTGACAGTACGCACACACACTGCAAACGTAGTTATTCGAATCCAAAACCTCTAGAAATAACAACATATATTTTCACTACTGAGATCACTTGGTGGGTTCAAGAAATAATTTTTTTAAAAATAACACGATATAATTTAATTAAATTAAGATGTATATGTATATTCCTAGTTATATACCTTCTACGAAATTCTGTTATATTTTTTTTTGACAAAATAAAATTTTCTTTTATATTCATATTTAATATATCGTTCTTCTAATTGTTTATCATAACCAAAAAGTATATATCAATAAACTCTTAAAATTTTAATTAATTATATTTATCCAAAACATCTTGATGGGGAGCGGCTTGATTTCTCCATTATGTCGCATGACGAGCAAACAGAAGTTCGTTTCGATAAAAAAAATACTTAGAAGTTTTTATTATTAAACCAACTTTTAATTAAAAATTATATTTAAATTTAATTTATATAATTTATTATTATTATTAAACTGACAAGGTAGTTATATATCTTTTTGATATAATTATTAGTATTCAATATATTAATCAATTAATCTGAATCGAGTATTGTAAAAAAAATCGAAAGAAAAGTCTCAAAATAGATGAAATAAAACAAAAGTTTAATAAAAAATAAGTGCCTAAATAATGACTCGAAAAACGTTTTGGTGCTTAAATAACTTTTTTGCTAAAAAAAGATGTCTAACATTTTCTCAGTTATACTTTTAGGTGTCTAGCATTATATTTTTTATTTTTATTTTTAAATTTTTAATAATAAAAAATATTATTTTTAAAAAAAATTAAAAAAACTTAATTTATTTGTAAAAAACCCCAAACTTTTAATTTCATTATAAAAATCTAAAAAACTAAAATATATCATTTCAACCCCATTACAAATTGTCTTCAGTCATTTTCAGACACCATCGTCTCTGAACACTTAGGTTTCATTCGAAATTGCACGGTGGTTCGAATGGTGGTGACAATGTGGCTTATGGACGTCGGGATCGGTCGGGATCGAAGAAAAACAACGACAATCCGATGAATCTTTGAACGTTTCTCTACGGAAAACGGTGACACTTTACGACCATTATGTTGTACAGTACAAACACCTAAAAATCTCCAATGAAAACGTTAGACACCTATTTTTAATAAAAGTTTCTTTAACCACTAAAATGTTTCTCAAAAAAAAGTTTGTTAAAGATTAATACAAGAGCTGTGGAAAAATTAATCTTCATTTCTCAACTCACAAATTACAATCTGTTTACATATATATATATGAACCTTTTCAATCTAACTGCCTAACTAACTTAAAACTACTTGTAACAAACTATTAACAGAAAAACAGATTACAAACTCAACACTCCCCCTAAAGTTGGATGTTGAAAAACATTTTCAACTCCTAACTTGGATAGTAGATAACTATGTTGCTGACTTCCCAAGGCCTTGGTCATGATGTCTGCAAG